TGAATCTTGTCCAAACTCCGCAGGCTGCCACGATGAAGGGTATATTTTTTTTATCAAGGTCTGCCAGCTAGGCTACTGACAGTCCTATCCTCTGCCAAGATCCAAAGATGGAGAGAGAAAAGGAGAGAGGGGGAGTGTACGTGAAGTTAAGAGAGACAAAAGGAAAAGCAGAGGCTTGTCATCTGGTTTTGCTGTGCCTTTTTACACGACTCTTCAGCTGCAGTGAGCACACTCTGGGGAGCTGAACGATTCACAGGGAAGATTTCTATACGAACTGATTAAAAGCGAAACAAACAAAATACCGAGTTACAAGCGGTTTTCAAAGGGATTGTGTCTAACTTTCCACAGTCACTTTGAACACAGCATGGTGAAATCCCCAGCATTGTTGGCGGAAATGGATGTGGCATCGCGTCGCTGTGCAGCATACTGTAATGTGTACGAGTCTATTAGCCAGGACAGGCTGTTCTATTGTTATTGATGCTCCTATTTAGGTGGGCATAATTGAATTCCAAAATACAATATCACTCATTCATCATCTTGAGGGTTGACATTTCTATCAGACTATTGATGCACAGTCAAGTGAATTTTGTTTGTGTAAAATCGTGTACAGATGCTGAAAATTTGCTAAATATGAACAGAACATTTGTTGAAAGCAGCTAATTAAAGAAGCTGCCCAAAATGCAATCAGCCTCTCTGCCTCTGCATCGAATCCATATCCATTTGTGGACTAAATGCGGAGAGCTTAATCATACTAAGTCACGTTTCAAGATTCCTTTGCTTTCGGACCGCGGCTGAAACACAGAATGAACACAGATGAAAGTCTTGTTTCAATCAAACACACAAAGCACGTGAGGGCAAGAACACAAGGATTTGTTGCACTAAGGTTCCGTGCACTGAGGACCATTGGGAGTGTAATATTGTAGGTGATTGATGCAGAATATTTTTTTCTCCTTCATTCAGGCTGACGCCACATTCCCTGTGCTTCATCTTTGACTCTGAAGCTCTTTGACAAGTTCATTTTGGAGCAATGTCAGTCATACGCCTGCCTTCCTCTGTATCGGTACCAACTCATTGCAATGAACACCAGATTTGTCTGGTTCTATTGATCCGTTGGGGTCCGGAGGTGGAGACGGAGGTCTTTCAGTCTTGACCTTCACACAGCGGAGAGGCGTGGTCGTCCACTGTGAAACTACTCGGCCGGGAGAAAGGGTTAAAGCTCATCTTCAAGACACAAAAAGAGAAGGATGGCCGACAAGGACACGTTATTGATTCTCTTCTGTGTTTGCTGCCAGTGTTCCATGGACAGTTCAAAATTCCTCCAAAGCAACTTCTTTTCTACCTCTTACCCTTTGTGTCGTCTGGCTTTGTTCTTCTCTTGCCTTGAAATGTGACCGGACGTGTGAATTAGGTAATCCCAAAATGCCCGTCATTCACCTCTGATGTGTGAATGGGGTGTCCTGGCTCAGTATGAAATGATTACATCTGCTCCTCTGCTAGCCGCACAATGGTGTTAGTTATTTAAGTGGTTTCCAAAATTAGCTGCAGGGACCGTCAAGGTTCTTGAGGATGTTGCAGCAGTTCCCCAGCAGAGTTAATTAATTGCTCACTTAAGGCTAGGCGACATATTGAATAATTCAGTTCAATAATTATGAGATATGTGCTTCCTCTTCTATCAAACTCCACCAGAGCAAGCTGTGAGAAATTCTCGAGTTGCAAACTGTTGCTGTGTCTTTGTTTTATTTGCTACTGCCAGTCAAATATACCTGAGTAATTAAAAAAAATAATGAAAACAGTCAAATGAATCAATCAATAAAGAAATGCCATTGAAAAGTATTACTTTTGTTAAATAATTTTTGGTTTTGGAACTGATGACACTGGAGACAACCATACACACAGAGATGGCAGCACAACAACCATGTTTCAACATCAGTCAGAAAAGTAGGATGTATTAAACAAAATCTGAGCTGAGTTTAAAAACTCCAAATATGAAATGTTTTTGTTCCAGAAGAACATTGTATTGCTTACTTATACAGTTTAAAGCTGTATAATGAGTTTAAAGCTTTCTAAACTCTTTAAAAACAACCCTGATGAGGATGAAACAAGGTAATAAAGTAAGATAGACCGTTCATTCAGAATCAGAATCAGAAATAATCCCAGAGTGTGTAGTGTGTGCACAGTTACTTTAACTTAATTCCATAAACCTATATATAATATTCCTATATTGTCATTTACTGTTCTCTAAAGATATTTTATATTGTTTAATTCAACTGATATTACTTGTCGTTTTAAACAGGTTTAAACAGACTTTGACACACTTTGTGGAGGAGTTGTAGAGATTTGTATGAAAAGTCTCTTCTCACATCAGCACCATGGACAGCGCACCATTGCTGCAGAACAGAGGGACTACAGTCGGGATCTTGCATAATACATTATGCATAGATGGATTACGTTTAGCACAAGTTAAAAGTCAGCAAAAAAAAAAAAAAGTTGAGATTTTTTACTAATGCTGCGGAACTTAATCGTGTAATGAAATTTAAGGTGATATTGTGGGTTAGAATCAACGATTAATAATTCAGTAAAAAAAAAAAACGGGATAAGATCAGCAACCGCCCGCACCGCTGGCGCACTCAGTCCCTTTACTGAAAGGACATCTTGTGCACGGAAAAGCTGTGAGTTCTTCCTCCGTGTGTACGGGGCTGTGTACAGATCTGTGTTATCCTCATCTGGACGCGTACACGGCTCCGTTTTCCCCCCAACTGGTCCTTTAAGCCCGGCCGGCTGCAGATCGGACCTGATGGGGAACAGTTGGAAGATGGAGCGGACAGGAGAAGTTGCACCGCCCCGGCTCAGGCAGCAGGGCTGGAGCAAATAAAAGCTCAGTTAGTGATTGAAAGTGATGGTAAAAGGATTTAGCCTCGGCATTAACTGAGGGAGGGAGAGAGAGACAGAGAGGGAGAAAAAAGGGAGGGGTGGGAGGAATAGGAGTAAGGGAGGGTAATATTTTCCATAAAGCCTTTCCCCCCCCCCCCCTCTCTTTCTGCCCTTGAGCATACCGGGTAAACCCGAGCTTGTAACGTGGGAAGAGGAGGAGGAGAGGGGGGGTACAGGGCGGGCACAAGCCTTTCCTCAAACTCAATATTTTATACTTTTGATACTCCTTGAATGCTGGAATTCAGTCCTCTTTTCCTGGCCGTTTCCAGATCTAGGACAGCGATCTACCGTGGAGCTCATCCACGGTGTGATTAAAAAAACAAAAAAAAGTATCCAGCGGGGGGATCAAAAACAAACAGCGAGACCGGCAGGCTGGTGACGGAAGTACAGTGAGGACCGAGACGGGGGGAAGGAGTACAGTGGAATCTCGGAGGGGGGATTGATCTGACCAAGCAGGAGGACGTGCACGGTGTCCAGGCAAAGTGCTGACCGGAGGTGCAGACGCGCGGACGAAGTAAGTGCTTTATCTGAGAAAGCATCTCCCATCACCGGGCATTTTCTCCTCTTTGAAGTCTGAAACGACTTATTGCACAATATCCAGAGCAGCTCTGGGTGATCGGATTCCCCAAGTGGACCCCGAGTTTCATTTGCACAACTGAAGATGATTTAATCTGCAAAGATTAAAAACGTTATACAGTGCCAGAGATTTTACGCGATCGAGTGCTTTACTGTGGGAACTGACACACCCTATTCTGAGGAAAACTGACACCCCCAACAAGAGTGTTGGTACCTCGAAAACGGTTTGGCGACTTCACTTAAGTGAACTAAGTCCGTTTGGTTACGTGGGATAGGTCTAAGAACTTGCCTTCGGTCTCTGTGGGTTGACAGATTATAATCCCCGTGTTCATGAACATGAGTCGTTAAACAGGATATCTGATCACTCATGGATGCATCTTAAAATATAATGAAGTTCAAATCGAATGACGTGAATGATGTGGCAAGGATTTCCAGAGCTGATTTTTGCGAATGAACTTTATTCGACTATTAAAACACGACAGGGAAGTGGGACAGGAAGACAGGATTGAGTAATCTTAAATTGTTCATAACCTTGTACTAAGTAACCTCCCATAAATAAACACTTAAACTCTAAAAACGGCACTATAGTGAGAATATTTTCCTTTCCAACGCATTTACATCAAATAGAAAACTGATTTTTTGGGGGTATTATCGATATCACTCGACTGATTTTTCCCTCGGCGTATTAATTCTTGTTACATCTGAAGCCCACTCTGCAGCACTGGAGCATTTACAACTCTTGCACGCACAGGCGGCACCCGGCAGCAGCACGTGTTTTTACGCACAAGGTTATCTCACTGTATGTGGGGCTTTTTACTGCTTGGACAAAATCTGATCATCAGAGGATACAGCAGGAGGCGAGGCTAACCTTTACAGACTCAAAAGGGAAATGTTACCGTTTTTTTTTAACTAGTTAAAGTGAATCAGGTGTTTGCTGAGTTATTGTTCATTCTGCAAAGTAACGATGCGGTTTATCCCAAAGTAAATCTGACTGAAAATCATGATTTAACGTGAGTTAACGACACTGATTTTGACTTTTTTTTCCATGTTTGTCTCGTCATCCCTCCAGGACAATCAGATGAGCTCGGTCGATCTAAAGCGTCCAATGGATCTATCTGAAGACTCAGCAACTTTTCATCCTCCCCATCAAGCATCACAGTTCCCTGGCAGGACAACTCTCTGAGACATGGATCCGCGTGAACACTTTCTGCCCAACTCCCATCAACACTATGTTAAAAGCCCACTCGGAGTGTTATCTCTGTAACAGTATCCGCCTCTCCAACCGTCACCGACCCTCCTCAGGAAACCAGCCGTCTAAACAAGAAGAGGTCCCTCTCTCGGTTCTCCGGGGAGCATCAGTGTTTGTCAGACGGCACTGAGCAAAAGCTGCAGGTCCCCCCCTCTATCTAGGGAACTGATAAAAGCCAGTTGTGCCAGTTAACCTGTGCCGGATGCTGACCGTTTCTGAATGACCACCGCTCCATGCGATTTTCCTGTCCTCTGAACTCCGTGGCCCCCTCACCCTGCTCCGGATCCCGTCCCGTCCCGTCCCCCCTCGACCTGCCATGCTCCTCCAGGCCGTGTTGCTGCTGCTGCTGCGCTGCTTGGCCTCCACCCTGGGCCAGTACGAACTCTGCAAGTCCCTGGTGAGCACGGACGAGGGCTCGGTGTGGGAGCATTACGCGTGCCAGCCCAGTTCCGCCTCCATGAAAGACTACATGCGGATCAAAGTGGACCCACCCGGCATCACGTGTGGAAACCCACCCGAGAGGTACTGCACTCTGGTAAGTTCACGTTCCGAAATATATAGAGCTTTTTTTTATTAGTTACTCTATTGAACTTTTAGCAGTATTTACATAAATGTGCGCAAACGAGACCTCCACACGACCTCAGAGTTATTTTTGGCACATCTAGATCACAGCTTTCTGCAGTAAAACTTACGAGACAAAGTAAAAAAGTAATGACCAGCAAACGGTCACAGCGGGATTCACACTATAAAAGCCACAGGGGTCTGGAAAAGGTGACACATGTGCAGTGACTTGGCACGGATCGACCTTGCTCAAATATGTCTGGGGGTGTTGTTTACATTAGATCGGGCTTAATTTGGGCTTCTGGTGAACTTCACAGTTTCTCTGGTAAAATGCACATAGCAGGACCTTTCACTTCCAAGGACACCAAAGGGTGAGCTGCGGGAAAACTCGTTAAAACGTCTGCTTAAGCAATATTTAACACACTTTGGCCCGTAGCCTTGTCCTGGCTAATGAAGGTCTAATCGTTTTAAATGAGGGGTTATAAAATCTGAATTAAAGGACAGCAGTAAAGCTTGTTCCTGTCTGAGTTCAAACTTTTGGATTTGTGGTTTTACCCATGATTTGACTCACTCTGTGATTATCACAGTTTTATTTGATTGATTATGTCATTTATCATCCATTCCGTGAGATAACCAGCACAAAAGGTGGCAGACTGTTTCAACATGAGACAAAATCTCATAAAGTGTATCGGAACATGTAATCCTCTCATTTTGTGAATGATTTGAGGTCTTTGCTTTCTGAAGGTGTGGAGAAATTCAACTTAAACACAAATTTTACAAGCGACCCCCTGCCTCTCTCTCCATTTGAAACTCATAAAAAGCATGCTGGGTCATTTGGATAAGAAAGGATACTGTGGTCCTCGGATACCTAATGGTTAATGATTTGTTTCGGAGCTGAAGCTACAGTTTTCTTGAGTGAAACCTCTTTGCTGACTTCTCTTAAGAGGGGAGATGGACAGGAGTGAGGCAAGAGGTGAGGAGGAATGCTCGGTGCCATAGCGTATTGACGTGTGCCCCCTAATGGCTCCGGCCTGGAAATTTCTATAACTATGTTTCTGAGTGAGCGATGATGAAATATTGATGGGCTCCCTAATGGGCTTCCTTACGAGGGTTGGCCAGTGACGGTCCATCCGAAGGATCGAGAGTGTGCTGCACGGCTGATGAGACAGAAAGAAAAGTATGCATGTGTGTTAGTTGGGGGTTTGGAGGGGGGGGGGGGAGCAGGAAGGAGTCTGGTCTTAGTCAGCACTTTTATATCCAATAGGGTCTATATAGCGAAAAGTTCTGGTTCCTGTTAGGTCATTTGTGGCTGGGGGGATTTTACCAGGCCCCAAAGTGCACTAGCTGGGGATTAAGAGGGTCAGAATCTACCGAAGGAGTAAGGAACATCAGACAACGGCTTTGAATTCCAGCACATTTAACAATTACACTGCTGCTGTTTTAAAGTACTTCACGGTGCTCCAACAGAACATCTAAAAATTTTTTTCCTCCAAACACTCCTGCAGCAAATCAAGTTCATTAGATGGCCTCCCTTCCCTTTAGACACACCAGTTGAGTGTTGGCTTAAACTTATAGCCCCCAGATTCACACAAAAGCCAGTGTCATATCTAATTGGTGTACATTTACATTTAGGAGTCTCACGAGTCAAAAGAAAGTCACAGCACTTGGAAAAAAAAAAGATTTTTAATAAGACTGGAAAGAGACTGCAGGAGATGTTAAATAATTTTTCTCCCTATCCTTTAATCTACTGTTTGAGCACTACAGTGTGTTGCTGCACACTATGGGGCAAATTTCTATGTTTTTTTTTTATAGCATACTGTAGCTCTACTCACTTCCACTGGTTTACAGTAGCGTTTGCTCCCTCCATCTCCACAGGGAGGAATTTTTTCTACTCTATTTATCTCCCTTGTTTTCTGGGAATCTTGCTCCCCTTTCTCTACCGCCAAACAGCCTGGCGTGTTGGCTTCTGACAACGTGACAGGTTTCCAGCATTTTCACAAAGATGCCACAGTTTCCATTGCTGTGTGAGGAGCTTCGCCTGTTTCTTCTCTTTCTCCGTATGATATCACACATATATATGTCTATATAAATAAATGTTGTCGGTTGGTTTTGAACCAAAACCTTCAATCAGCCGTCTCCCTCCGGGCCGAGAACAGAGAGCTGTCGAATGCAAATGGGAGCGTGCGCGTGCGCCGAAAAGTACAGTTTGTAGTGATGTTAACAAGGACCAGCAGCGGTGTGGGAAGCACGTGCACGAGTTAGCTGACAGTGCACGTCGGTGTGTCTTAGAAAGAGGTACAAAAAAAAAAGAAAAAGAAAAAGATAAACAAACAAAATAACACACCTTCCTGTTCCACAAAAACATTTGCCTATTTTAGAAGGTAGAATTCAGCCAGCTCTAAAAATAGACATGAGAGGAGAGAGAGAAGCGGCGCTGCAGCGGAAGGGGAGCATGTAGGAAGGATGGGAAGATGGCAGCTGGTAGTGTGGATCACTGCATCTCAGACTGGGCCCGTGGCCATGCTTACCCTGCCCGGTGCAGCCTTGCCAGGGCCCGGCCTGCCCTGCCCAGCAGTGGGTCATCGAGGCCACCCAAATCCAGGAGTGGGCTATTTTTTGATCCACCTCCCTGGGGGTAAAAAATAGATCTTTGGCCAGTACCTGAATATAACCGCATTCCAGGTGAATCTTGGCAGAGCATGAAGAATTTGAATCATGCGGCGGATAATTAACGAATTGGATAGATGGCCACTGAGAGTGACAGAGAAAGAAGGGAGGGGGAGGAGAGCGCGGTGATGTAATGGCGTGGCTTGCTTCCCCATTAGGACAAAGTTAAAAGTAATCAGAGTGTTTAGATGTGTTGGCGGAACAGGAGGATAGTTTTAAGTGAGACTTATCTTTATCTGAGGTGATACTAAAAGGAATTGGCTGCAGGAGCTTAGGCAGCCTGAGGTGGAATTAGCAAAGCGCCTCGTACTACCTGTCGGGATTTCAGGACCGATGACTATTTGGATTGTAGAAACCGCGTGGATAGAAGCCGCACATCCAGTGTTTGTGGATCTCCCAGTGGAAAGGTTTGGAAGGGAAAGTGTTATATAGTTCACACAAAGGTCTGATTGTAAGTTTGCTATTTCTAAAAAAAAATACAAATAAAAAAACATATCAAGGCTTTTGTGGCTTAAGAGGGATCTGACAAACTAAGCCGGGGTCGAGTAAAGTCACTGGAGTTGGAGTCAGAGGCTGAAAACCTAAAGATTAGAACCAGAAGCGCGTGATGTGATTGTGTGGCGTCATCCTCATCAGATATTGTCGTCGTTACTGTAGTCGACGTACTTGATTTCACCAGACGAGACTATCAGTCTTCTTCCGTAATCGTTTAGATCATTTTCTGAAATTGTATGTCTTTAATTAGATAGTCTCTGTTTTTTAAATCGGGATCTGGTTAGATTGGCTAGACTTATAAATATATAATAACAGATTTTCCCCTGAAGGCACCTCTTGAGTCCATTCTGAGACAACAACAACTTTTCCTTTAATGGATGTCTTTTGTACCTGAATTCTAAGAGAAGTCCTAATATATTTCATCCCGGTCGGACTGTGGTGACTTGAAAAGGACGAGCTCAGCTGCTGCTTGGGAACAGCATGGTGCCTCTGCTCTGTGCTTCTTTCCTCCTCCAGCGCAATCACACAAGCCTCCAGTAAACATTTCAGTTTCTTCTTGCACCAACACACACACACACACACACACACACACAGCAAAAACAACACCTCCCCACGCAAACACACACCTAAACACATTTACACTCACCCACTGCTGTTTTGTTCCCAGGAAGGCATTTTACAGGAAACGGAAACACACTTTTTTTTCAGGCGATAGAGGGGGAAACTCAGTTACACGCTTACAGTGGCAAGGAAAAGTTTTGGCACCCCAGGTCGTAATTTTTGTAACTCTAGACCAGCTATGTGAGTAAAAGATAGCTTGATGGTTAAAAAGCCCCAAATTGCTTTAAAGGTGAAACACTTCTTTGGAATTTTATGAAAGCTAACTCCTTCTTATGTTTCACTGGATAAAAATGTGCAAAAGGGCCTGAAGCAAAACTTTGATCATCCTGTAAGAAAAATGCTTACTGGGGCCTAATTTGGCAAATGATGTGGTTTGTAAAAGCTTTTTACAGCTAAACTTTCCATTTTCTTGAAATATAAAACTCATCTTGTAATCTTGTAAGATTAATGTTGCGTACACCCCTGTTGAGATCCGTTCACACATTTCTGATCACCACGGTTTTAAAAAGATATATAAAAATGATCTGACTTATTTGGATGTTTGTTAGAAAACGTCTGATGCTGGTTGTCTGGTTTGATCGTAGCCTATTGGTCTTCCTGATCTCAACCTGGCCTCCAGAAGCCGTTTTGAGTGCTGTTTCTTAATTATGTTACAAACAAAGGAAACGGCACCAAACTCTTTCCGATCCTCTGACATAAATCACCTTTCATGACTTTCAAGAATTTTTTGTTGCTGTTAGGAGTCGACCATCCAAACTGAGTTTTTGGAATAAGACTGAAAATTTCTGTGTTTTTGATAAGCTTGGCATCCCTTTTGCTTCACTGACGGCTCATTTTGTGAACAACTATGGCCTCAGCAAGCTAATTAATCATTTTTAGAGGTGCCGACTCTTTCGGATCGTGTCCCTTTTTTCACCACTTTAAATTACACTGAAGTAATGACACAAGTGTTATTCAGAATATTACAATTTCTATTTGTGTCCGTTTATAATTACGTAATTCTGCGCCTTGAACAGAAGAGATTCTGGTTGAATTTTGCACTGTAAGAGTCCAGGCATTTGTCAGGCAACACACAGAGATAAACAACCTTCATTTATTGTAACAGTGTCTTCTAGTATGATGGAAAACCCTCCAACAGAATAAAAGATTAACAATCTAAGTGGAAAAGCAATATCTCTTCTCCCTTTCCCCTCTGTGGCCTTTTTAATGGGAGGGTCGTTCCTTTTGATGTTTCTCCAAAACACAATAAATTGTGTTGTCTAAGTGTGTGTCCCTTCCTTCCTTCCCCTCGCTGCCAATATAAAAGAAACTTCTGTAAGTGGGGGGAAACAGAGAAAGAGAAGGCAGAGGCAACAGAGCATAGAAAACACTTTAGGGAAACAGTAACAGGAAAGGAAAGCAACCTGCTTCTGACTCCTGATGTCATCAAAACCGGCAATGTGATATATCGAAAACGGCGTGCGCTCGGGATGAGGGAGCTGCCATTTTTTCCGTCATAGTTTCGCAGTCACAGATTGCTGCAGAGATAACTCAAAGATGAATCAGAGCTCGTAGCCGGAGAACGAGCCAACTCTTAGCATTTGAGGTGTTATTAATGACTGCTTAGCATCTCATTGTTTTCCCTACAAGCGAAAACAAGGAAGTCACTCATCGCAGGGGCATCATGGCAGCTGTTGTCGTGGAAACTGGAGCCCGGCGAGGATAATTGCTGGAGGGGTTTAGCGGTGCAGGCCACCTGCTGCAGCATTTGGTGGGGATCTGTGTGTTTATGTTTATGAGAGAGAGTGTTTGCGGGTGTTTGCGGGTACCCGTATCCTGGCGTCCGGCGCCAGGCCCGGGCCAGTGCGGAAGCCGGCGAGGGGAGGGACGGATGACGATGATGAGGAAGGAGCGCGCAAAGGGCTTTAACATAACCTCTCGTAAGTCTGGCGTGGGGGAAGAAAATCTCCCAGCCTGCATTACTGTACACATCACCTCTACTGTAGCTAATCCCAAAGGGCTCCGTGAGGTCAGAGAAGACTGATAAGCGGTGACACGCAGCTGTTCCATGCAACGCACAATGTGCTCCAAAAAAAAAGAACCAGGATGTAAAAAAAAAAACTACATCGCTCTGTGCTAACCGTCTGGCTCTGCTAATACCGCCACACAGGCATTCTATTTTTCTTCCAGAGAGTACAGGAGCCAACCTAAATCAAGTTTGCGCTGTATCTGGGACAGTGTGGTCATTTTGAAAAAAAAGGATTTGCAGGGCAAGAGTCACCGCCCAAAACAACAGCCTCCTAATCTGTCTTCCTGTGTGTGTAAACATGTGTCCGGAAAAAGGTCAGGGGATGCGCAAACAGAGGGCAGAGAAGCAGCTGGGCCTCCGCGGGGGCGGCCATTCTTCGTCCGATGTCCACCACCGCCGTCTTCATCTGCTTCTAATGACCTCGTCTGGTTGCAGTTGTTTTGCGAGCGTTGTAGATTATCATCTTAAGTGTGTTGGCGCTGACAGCGATCTCTATCCGAGTGGCTGCACCAGGGATAATTGGGTTATCAGACGGTAAACAGTCCTGCTACGCCGGTTCGGCGCGGAGCTAGATATATCATCTGCAGTTTTTTTTTTGGGGTACACAGACACGGCATCTTCGCACGCATTATGATCCTGGAGAGTGTCTTTCTCGACTTGAAGCTTCCCTCAGCGCCAGCTCAGCATTTGCTTGTGTTTGGAGTTTTCCCACTTTGCGTTGTCACCATAAATCAGATGATTTACAATCGCAACCCCGCAGGATTCCAACTTTTGCTTTTGGTATTATGACGCTAGAGTGGCTTTGAGTGACTGCTCACTTTCCCGTGGAGCAGTCCAATGGCTTTGCTCAAAGCTCACGGCAGACGCCGCTCCTCGCTGGCTCTGGATGAGAAAAAGTGAGCGTCTGCAAAGAAGCAGTGACACATGATCTATGCTTGCACAGTACATCGATATAAGGCAGTATTGCTTTCACGTTAGAGCTTACATCATATAGAAGAAACTGCTGTTTCATGTGATACTTTACCTAAATCTTTTGTGTATTGACCAGTCAGCTTTTATAGGGTAGAGATGGCCGAGAAAAGTTTCAGCCGTTGCAGGAAAAATACGTTTTTTTTTTAAAACAGAAACTTCCCGAACACTCGCGCAGCATAATATGGTTTCCATCTGTATGCTCAGCATGTCTCAAAGCTGATATTTCTATGCAAAACTTGCATCACAAACAACTTTGGCAAACTCATTAGCAGGCGTGCACATTGGTATGAGCGTGTTAAAGAACCCTGCTGACTTTTCCCTCCGCTTCCCATCAACGATGAGCATACCAACTCTATATACATTCTGTAGTGCAAACACAGTTTCAGCGTTGGATATTCAAAAGACAGTTTTGGATTAAATCATTAACGTGGAGATAGTTATTTCATTCATAGCACAAGAAGGTACCTCGAAGTTAGTGTAGAGAATTTAGCTCATTCACATTTGCCTTTATCGTCGTCACTACACTGAACTGTCCTAATAAATAAAAAAACATAAAAATAACTAAGGGTGTTTCAATATGAGCCTTTGTCAGTAAAACAGTACAATTAGAGGAACTCAAGCTTAACTCATTAAGAAGGAACAAAGGCATCATTTTACTTTTCAAGCAAGGACAAGAATATATTTATATTTATTTATTAGTTATATTTTTAAAGACATTTATTTTATTAGCTACATTGTTAAATAGGAGCAGGAAGATTTTCAGAATTCCTCATGTATTAGAAGGTTAGATGATAAGAAGATCAAAACTAAGATGAATGTTGAGAAGAAAAGGTTTAGTAATTTTTAAAGGCTGAAGACAAAAGGAGAGATGTTCATTCTGTCTGCTCCAATATGAGCTTCTGAAGACTAATTCAGCACAGTTGATAGAGACATTTTAAAGACTGTTGGACTCTAAATAAATAATAGTGTACATAGTTTAATAATTAGAAATGTACAACAACTGCAAGTAAATAATACCGTTGAAGACAGAAAACTCCCAGGAGCTTTAAATCAGTGAGATTTATTGAGAGAATAGCAATAAAAGTAATTGGGCATTTTTAAAAAATAATTATTTTTGTAGTTTTGTCTTATTGTTGAATTTGAGGAAAAATGATCGGACTGTAAATAAAAAAGGCAATAGTTACTTTTAAAGAAAAGAGCAAATAGACATTTAACGGTGTAAGATAAGACAAAGAGTGAGTGATTCAATAGACTGAGGAAGTGTAAGTAAATACTGGAGAAAAATTATAACCCTTCTCGGTGTAATTAATGCATCCTAGGGGCAAATAATGAGTCTTCTGTATGAGACACAATCCAAACAGAACCACAGTTGAATTTATTAAATTAAGCACCAAGAGAGATGACTGAGGTTCTCGGGGAATTCTTTGTGCAAATATTTTCCCGTCTGTTGTGATGGGGGTGTCAGGCAACTGGCATGCAGCAGCAGTCAGCTATGTGAACCCTGGGATCACTAAGCTTTAAAAATAAAAGCCACACCTCACGAGCCCTTTGCGCTTCCTACAAATCATGTTTCAATCAATGAAATGGTGACTCTGAGTATTACCCAACCAGTGGTTACGTTTGTTATGATGCTGTTAGCAGAAAAAAAAAATGCAGGGCTGTTCTGATTTAATAAAATATCTAATGATTTTTTTATTTGTTGCTGATTAAATGGAGGATATATTGTAAAATGTGTGGAGTATAACAGGAAAATCTCCAATCAGAGTGAAAAGGATTTTTTTTCATGTACTGAAAGAGGCTTGTGGAGCTCTCGGGCTCTGTGAACGATCTTGTTGACTTTTAGTTGTGTAGCAGGGCAGCAATTTGAAAGTCTTGGCATCACTAGAAGAGAAGGATCAATTCTCTTGAGTTAAAAGTGCAGCAGCACACTGCTGCCCATGCAAAGACGGTGATGATGCACGATCCTCCTGACCTTCACACACTTCCTGTTGTTTTGTTTAGCAAGTTTACTTTTCTGTTCCCCTATTTTCTGACTGAGGCTGTCCTCTTTTAAACTTGGGTTAGCTTTTTGAGAGGACATGTGATGTTTTGGGTGCAAAGTTTAAAAAAATATTGGCATTAGTCAACTAATTCCAAAACTGATTTTTTTCTATAGAAAATAAACTTTTCAGTTGCATTTATTGTGATTGGACCAAGAGATGGATCCCTAAAGACACACTAGTAAAAAAAAATTATGACTAAACACACACATTTCTCTGTAGTAATTTGGGGAAGAGTTTGCACAATATTGTCAAATGTTATCATAATCCTGACAAATATGTCACAACTGAACCTTGCCTCCCCCTCTCTGCTTCTTTTACAGGAGAATCCATATTTATGTAGTGATGAGTGCGACGCCTCTAATCCAGACTTGGCCCACCCACCTCAGCTGATGCAGGACCGTGAACGAAATGGCCTTATCACCTACTGGCAGACCGTCACGTGGAGGCGCCACCCAGAGCCGCTGCTCGCCAACATCTCCTTGTCCTGGAATAAGAGCCTGGAGCTCACGGACGACGTCCTGATCACCTTCGAGTACGGCCGTCCCACCATCATGGTGCTGGATAAATCCATGGACAACGGGCGCTCCTGGCAGCCCTACCAGTTCTACGCCGACGACTGCCTGGACGCTTTCAACATGCCGCCCAAAAGGGTGTTTGAGCTCTCCCCCACGAACGTGACGCGGGTCATCTGCACGGAGGAGTACTCCCGCTGGGTCGGCTCCAAGAACGACAAGAACGTGAAGTTTGAGGTGCGGGCGCGCTTCGCCGTGTTCGCCGGGCCTCGGCTCCAGAACATGGACAACCTCTACACCCGCATGGAAAGTATGAAGGGACTGAGGGACTTCTTCACCTTCACCAACCTGAGGCTCAGGCTGCTCAGGCCCGCCCTCGGAGGCACCTACGTCCAGAGGGACAACCTGATGAAGTACTTTTACGCCATCTCCAACATCGAGGTGCCTGCCAGGTGAGCTTTGCTGAGGATTTGAACTACTGACGGTTTTGTAATGTTTTCCCTAACAAAAGTTGCAAAGTTTGCAAAATTGAAAAAAAAAATAATGTGTCAATCACTGGAATGGTAGAATGAAATCTATCTTCTAAAATGTGAACTTTTCGCTTGTTAAATTTTTAAATTAGAACATTTGTTGAAGGTTAGTGATGTGGCATGGAAAAGTGCATTATCGATGAGGTTCATCTCAGAGAGAAAAACAAACAATTCACAGGACAAATTGAGCAGATTTTTAAAAAAGCTTGATCTTGTTAATCAGAGTTAGGGTTGGTTTATTGTTCCTCTCCAAACGAAAAATGAATAAACTAAATTAATCATATGTAGCTAGATTTAATTCCCTTTTTGAAAAATATGGCAAAATGTATAAAGAAATTAGGGGGTTGTTTGAAGTGGTGAAGTAAAAAGCACATCGAGAAATGCTGAAATTTAGAGATTCTCGAGTAAAGGACCAAAACTCATTGCTGTCATATTTAATGAACTATTAAATTGATAGTTTATCTGAGTAGAGTCCTCCACCCAGAATGTCACGTCATAGCTTGCACATGTGGTTTTGCTCCGTATTTTCCTGCACTCGCTCTCAAATAGCGGACCTCAGCGGGTGATGAACATGCCCTCTGGACCGACTTCAGCCCCCACACACACGGCCTCTGTGATCTGGGGGCTCTCAAAATGACCCCTTTCTCAACATGAATTCTGGTCTGCCCGTCACTGGCCTGTGAGCGCGATGATTAACGACGGATACGCGCAGCCTCGGTGGTCCGACGTAAACTCCCCCCCCCCCCCCCCCCCCCACCCCCGTCTACGTTCTGCCGGAAAGCCAGGAACCCTTACATGGCAACTTTGTGACAGTGAACGATGCTCCCCCCATCATGCACCTGCTCAGCATCAACAAGCCATCCCTCCTTCTTTTCAGAGTTATTATTCCAATCAATACAGCACGCTGACATTTGAATGGTATTTAACATCCTTTTTGGGGTGGCATGCACTGGGAGGGGTGGGGGGGGGGGCATAAATTTGTGTGCACAAGTATGCATATGCGTGCGGGACGAGGGCTCCTAGCAAGACGGAGACAGTGGGGATGTGTGTGAAGAGGGTGTTGACCGATGGGGGTGTCTGTGTGTGCGTGTCTGCACATGAGGAAAAGGTGTGGGGGTTGTTTGATGAAGTCCTGAGTGGATGCTGACACAGCACACATACAAACACGCACAAGCAGCCCAGCCCTCCGGCAGTTGTGGAGAAAAGGCCTGCAGGTATTGATCACCACCACTTTCCAGCCTCAGCACAGAATCAGATAAAAGGGGGGGGGGGGGGGGGGGGGGATCCAGGTGAACTCGCCCGTCATAAGCCAGGACCTCCAACAAGCCGGGAAATATATTAAAGCGTCCGAGTTAGAAAAGGTCTGTGCTTTTCTGATGTCATCCCCGCTGTGGCACTTTGTAGGAAACGGCCCATAAATTTGCTGTTTCAATCTTTACTAACTTATTTACCGAAGGAGCTTCTATGTTTTTTTTTTGAATCCCCGAAAAACCTTTGCTGGTGGCAAGCTGCTGATAGTGTGAGTTTGTGTTGGATCTAGTAACAGAGCACCCAAATATAGTTCGGTGCAGATGACTGAGGGCAGTCCATCTTCCGTCCTGGCCACCCGCACCTCCCGTAACATTATCACTAATCAATAAGTTATTCTGGGCAGCTCGGAGGGGTATTAGGTGAAGTGGTGGGGGGTCCTCAACAATACAGTACAATCAGGAGTGTCTGATGCTTACGGCTGGGAAATTGATTCTCGGGAACGAGACGATTAGTCAATGTTCCCTGGACAAAAGGCTAAGCTATTTCATCTCATCTCATCTGGCCTTAGTAACATATTGGGATTTCCAATGCTTAAAATTTGAATAATGAATATTCCACTTTACCGGTGCTCCGGCGGGGACAGCACACTGAAATGGATTTTATATGATCAAGACCGAGAGGCAGTGTACCGCAGGTCGCCACGGTAATGAGATATGCTAGTGTTATCGATGGAAAACGGCTTGTAGTCACTTCCTGGTCATATTGTGTGTCCCCAGGCCTCTGGCTGTGGCTCTCTGACTGAACCCATTTAAAAGTAATTATTATTAGTTGACTGTTCTTAATGGTCTAAAGTGAGCCTGCACAGAGACAGCAAAACAAGCTCTTTTCCCATCAGCCCGCGCAGACCTTTCTCTGTGCGGGATGTGTCTCGTATCTGACGCCGCACGGTCAGCGTGACTGGACGGGGTCTGGAAAGCTGGCACAGGTACACTGAAAGGGAGGTACTCAGGGATAAATAGTGCCGCCTTATCGATAAATACGTAACCTAATAAGCCGTTAAATGCAAATGCTGGCAAGTTTAGTTTGATGAACAAGAGGATGTAAATTTAGGATTGTGAAGGGTGTGAAAAAGCAGAATAAACTGGAACTTTAAAAAAGTCCAGAGGTAGAGTAAAGGTTTAAAAAGGGCAAATAGTCTAGGTTGATTGTACTGGGTTAAATTTTCCTCTATAAATTCTTAGAAAAGCTGTTTTTTGGACTAAAAAACGCTGGACGTTTTTTCATTTTACAGGCTACTGCATTCAAACGGTAGATGTGGTTGTTTCCATATCAGCCATGTGAAAGCTATCTCTGACCATCAAGTAGCTGAGCCTCAGCTCTATCTTCATTTCCATCAATGAAATCACATTCGCTGGGAGGCCTAACTCATAAGAAAGCTCTCAAATTCGGCCTCATTCATTGGACGTCCATCTCTCCATGCCCATTTCCTCCTTCCCATTTGTCAGCAGTCCTGCTGGTCCGTGGTGTGGACTATAGCAGGAACGTAGTCTGCATTAAGGGTAAGATATGGGGCCATGCATTGGGCTACTTTAATTAAATAAGCAGCAGGTCGTACAGTGGATCTTCATAATGGAATAAAGGAATGGCTCCAAAGCCGGGGAAGAGCCAGCTAAGTGGATTAAAGCCAAAAGAGGGGGAGAAGGAGATGGAGCAACATGAGGAGATAGACGGACTCTGTATTGTTTGGTTTTATTCCCGTCTCTCCTGGATCGTAATCACTGCAGCATCAGGTTCTCCTCTGCCCGAGTGCTCAATTGGATTTGATTGGCTGATGGTGGAAGATGACATTTAAGAGAAGCCAAATAGTCTTGAGTCTTTTATTCTCGTATGCCAGTTATCTGACTCGAGTCTAAAGAGGGGAAAACAGTGACACCACTGACTATTAATCCATTAAGAGCACACGTAAAAAGCTAGATAGCTTCCATGAAAAGGGAACAAATAGTGAAGAGGCACAAGAAAGCTTTCCTGCCAAATCAGACTAAGAAAAAACTAAGCTTGATTGGAGTTTGACCAAATTTGCAAACCAAACTCTAACTAAATTTGTGGCTTGCGGTTTGTGCGCCATCCAAACCTCTAATTAAGGAGCAGCTGACGGCCAGAATTGAAAGGATGGCACGTGCTACTTTGGTCAGCGTTGCTGCAACCACTATCAGAGCTGACCGACATGGCCTGCTTTACAAATGCTAACATGCTGACAAATCGTTTTAAAAAACGTATAGGGGTCCAAGCAAACTGTATAAACTTACTAGTTCTTAATAAAATTGTCATGTAGGAGGCATTCTCAACTAAAAAAAGCCTACCTGTAAACATGCCCGAAGAGGTGGACTGAACTGCCCACAGGTGGACCCTGCCACCTCAGGCTTAAAATGCAGAAGCATTGACAACCTCTAAGTAATACATCAAACAGTAGAGCAAACAGTAATGATACAACTCTGTGGGCTTATTCCCTAATTAGGCATGGGCTCAGTCTTGTCAGAATCCACCATGTCTTACCAAAATCTAATTATTTTCCAGTGGTGAAAATTAGTTAAGAGCTGACCTGGCAGGGTGCAAGGCTTCTGAATGTCAATGAAATTCAGAATGTTTTTACGTGGTCATGTTGTTTCATGCCTGCTTGACTCATTTATCCAGAGTGTGTCTGCATTCCTCTCAGTGCCATCCTGCCCTCCTGCTGCTAAAGCTAATGTGCTGCAAGGTTTAAGCTCTCCGTCTCTTCAAAAATACTGGAACAGACTGGTACAGAAAACTTTCTATTACAAGCCACAAAGAGGAGAGAAAGGACAGGGGAAGGTTTGACTTTTTAGGGCTAATTTTTCTACAGCAAAAAGCCTTTTTTTGACACAATTAAGTAAGTGATTAGAGATATATTTGCCTTATTTAAAATATATTGATTATTGATGTTGATGTCAGAGAATCAAATGGCTCAAACTCCAGGCAGTGGTGGTTCTACTATGCCTTTGCAGGCTTGCTGGATCACCTCTGTGATTCAGTGAGACATCTTGCCTCTGGCATAGTCCACACACTCCTGTGAACTCCTCTTTAAATCACACTAAGCGCCAGCTGGTCAGCTCAATGGCCCGGGATTCCCCGGCTATAACTCCATCTTCTCTACCTGGCCAAAGTAGCCGCAGTCCCTGTCTCAACCTCTTTCACTCTCGGGAGATTCACGAGCGCAATCATTTTAGTCACAAGTCTGTGAGAGGAGCTTGAATTGAATGAGGTACTATTCCTCTTCCCCATCGTCAGGCCTATACTTGCAGAGCTCTTTTTGGATTGGACGAATAGGGCTTCCATTCTTTTCTGTCTCTCATTGGAGATAGGTCTCTTACCAAAACACAGTTTTGCGTGTGGGTTAAACGGGTGTTTGGATCTGCTGTTGGTCTTAAATTTCTAACACTAATCGTGAATGACAGACTTTCAGGGATGCTTCCTTCATACCCAGCCTTGACATTGTCCAAAGAACCTTTTGGAGCAATCCTCCAACTTTTTTCTCTTTCTGCTTTTGCTCCAAAAAAAATAAATAAATAGAGAAGAAGAAAATAAAAAGAGAACTCAGATCTGAAGAAAATCTTTGAAGTAAGTAGCCAAACATCACAGACTGGGAAAAATAA